TGTCAAAAAGAAGCAAATTGAGCACTTCCTATTTAGGTATCTACTTTCTTTACCAATTACTCAACACTGTAAAGGAAGTAAGGCCTTTTGAATTAGACAAGCAAGAATTTAACAATCGGGCTAATTGGATCTTGCTTACGAAAGTGATCCAGCGAGGGCTGAAGCAATAAACTAATTAAACGAACAGATATCGAAATTCCGTTGATTCCAAATAAATACGGATGCATGATCACCTTTTAGTTTCTATTGATTCCTAAGAATACCATAAATCTAGACATCAAACTCTTTGATTAACGCACGAACACAGAGAATTGATCTCGTTGATTTTTATGTATGAAACACGAGAATTTAAGAAATTAGAGGAATCTAAACAATTAAATTCGGAAATAACGTTAATTGGGAGAAAAAAAAAAAAAAAGGCATAAAAATTCCTAATTAGATATACTGAATAAACTCTAAACCTACCAATATCTCTCCAAATCAATCTCAAGATAATTTTATTTATTTATTTTTATTTTACAAATTATATAATCATAACTATTTATTCAACTATTCTTTCCCAATTAATTCTTATTAATCATAGAAAGATGAGAGAACTAAGCCAATTACGCAAAAGTATGGGTATTCTTGAAATTCGACTACCAGGTTTAGGCCTCGTTTAGTTGAATGGAATTTTTGGTATTTTAGCTCGTTGGAACTAACTCCATAACACACTTTAATGGATTCACATAAATCTTAAATAAAAACAAAACTGACCTCAAGTTGATTATGGGAGAGATTAAGAAGAAGCAAGCCATGAAGTTTCCCAAAGGCTTCAGGCAGAAACCTTAATTGACGCCCAGAAAGATCCACTGTCTTGTCGGGTACAAGCCCTTGTTCTAATACAAGAATCACTTCTCTATCCACGCCATCATCATCGAGTTCATATCCAAGATTGTCAGCCATTGAATTTTCTGGGAAAGACAAAGAAGAAACTGAAGCGGAGAGAGATACCCAAGTGCGTAGAGAAGCGGGAGGAGGAGTTTTATAGAGTTGACGGGTTCTCAGTCAAGTCTTAGTGAGGAAATATTTGCTAGTGGATCGCCGCCTTATCGGACAAGGCAATTCGTTCAAATTGAAATTTTTTTTATGCAAAATTTTAATTGATTTTTGAAACTTCCTAACTAATCGGTTGATCATTTAAAAATCATTTTTTATTAAAAAGACAGTTATACCTTAATTAGGAATTAAATATAAAAAATTCAAAAAAAGAAAAAGAAAAAAAAAAGGAGTTATTGTCTTGACCATTCTCCCTTTAATTGTTATACTAGAATTTGAGCTCTCGAGGCATGTCTCAGTGGTGCAAATGTACTCAACCTTGCTGACAGAATCCCAATATGAGAGTTTGATTCCTAAAATATAAATTGTGACTCTTTGGGAGCATAAATTTACAGACAGCTCTTGTTTCCTGATCTATTGAGGTACATCCCACGATTAACCTCTCACGATACTCTAGGGACAGAACGATGGATGACTCTTAAAGTTGAGATTCAACCCTTTTTTTGTTATACTAGAATTTGATTTCGCTCGATATTGGAGCGGACTTGAGGATCCAAAAGAGAACGATGACAAAAAACAAATATACTTTCCACTTTCCCTTATTTTTTATTTTCTATTATTTTCGGTTTTTTAATGGTCCAACTAACACTTCCATAGATGATCGGGTCAGGTTGTTTTTACTGCCAACCCTACTCATAGTTTTGACAAAACGCCGTAGACATAAATACAATATTAAACAAGGGTTGAAAGCTTCCAGCGAAATTAATTAGGTAAACAAATAAAAAGTATAGTATATCAATCACAGGCTGTAAGCCAATATCATGTAGACCAGTGATCAGCCATTTCTTTAAACAATGTGACAAAAATCCTACAGCAGACGATCAACTGTGTTGATGATTAGCATTACTCTTTATTAACTAGTTAAATAAAATTTCTTGATAAATAATCCCTAAAGTTCAAAGTTGTGTATTTAGGTAGTAGTACTAAATAACTTGCTTTAGGAGAAACAAAATCCTACTTATACAAGAAAAGAAGGATTCTCCCAACAGGATATGAAAATTCTGCCATACATCTGCGAGAGAGAGAGAGAGAGAGAGCTCTGCTCTGTTTTACGTTTGACAAAGAAATTAGTAAACCAAACAACATGGTATTCCTCGAGAAAAATCTCCCCCTCTTTGAGAACCACAGGGAGTGCAGCCGTCTGTTGACACATTAAAATGCCGATCTGATTGTCTCATCCTACTCATATCTCAGTACTTTATATAGAACAATGAAAAGGGCTTCATAGTACAGCTGTTTGTCGTTCATTTGCATCTTCATGCTCGACCTAGCAGAAAGATCGTACGAGACCATTTATGGATACAAATGGTTATTAATGTACTATAGTTACAAATGAAATAAAGGGAGTGAAAAGAGAGAGAGATATTGGTAAATCCATCTTTACCTCAACAAGTACTTTCACTTTCTTCTTTGATTTGGCTCCATGTTCATCTTTATCCAGCTTTCTCGCAGAATCCTTCCTCCCTCTCTTGCTTTCAACAGCTACAGTCTCCTCATCATTGAGGTCGTCCCCAACTGCAGCATTTCAGATTTAAAATACGATAATAGAAGCTAAACTATAAACACAAAAATTTTCATCTAAGAAAATAAAACATTATGCACAAGTCTCCTAATTGGCAAATACTAACTGATGTGCAAATTAAGAAAAACAACATTTACCATTATCACCGTCCATGTTGGGGATTGCAAGATCACCAAAATCTTCCATATCCTCCTCTTCAAGCTCTTCATAGCCTTCAACATATTCTATCTCAGGTTCCTGTAGTATCAATTGTAGACTAACAATGAGCATTATGCCACGTTTTAAGAAGAGAAGAAAGCAAGCACCAAATGATTGAACAGATTTGGGAGCACTTGTGCAAAACAACCTCTTCGTCTTCGCTAACAGCATCCTTCATAACCTCCTTATCAAGAATTTCATTGTACTTATCAACAGGGTAATTATAAATGTCACCATAAACTCCTTTCTTGAGGCGTTCAAGTAGCTCTGTTTCAATACTCTGCAAAATGGTTAATAGCATTAGTTCCAGAGGGTGCACCATAGAATGAAAGCCAAAAGGTAAGCAACAAATCTATGAAAAAGAGAACAGCAAAAGATATACTCTCTCCAAAACTGCTGCCTTCTCAGCCTTCTCTTCTCTCCGAGCTTCTCTTTTCTTCTCTTTCCTTGGAGTTGTCATAATTTTCTCCCTGAACAAACATGCAGTGTATTAGAAACATGTCACAAGTGGGAAAGTTCGTATTTGTACTGATCAACAGTTAAAGAGAAAGAACTAAGAGAAAGCTCATGTGCATGCATGTGTAAACGCATACATACAAAAAGAATGTGTGGTTCAAAAGTAGGGACAAAGTTTTGAATTTACTTGCAAAATATTTTATTTTGTCAATGTGTGGTTGAAAATAAGTTTGAAAAAAAAAAAACTTAGTTTTAATGGTTGTCATATAGGGGCTTAATATTAAGGTGAAAATGGAACACCCGAAGTTGAGTCATTTGACAGCAGCACCGTCTCTGGATAGCATTGGTGGCTACATGTTAACACCAAAACATCAATAAAATTTTCAACATATAAACTTTGCCAAATGGAGGACACCTGGCCAATAATTTAAGAACCTCACTTTAAGATCTCATGTTCACCTATTGACCTAAAATAACCCCCCTTGAAAATTATAAGACCGTTCTCATTAATACTTAAAGTACAAAAAATAGAGAGTAAATTTCAGGATTTAAAACATTACAGAGGAAGGGGTATCAAGCATAACATTATGAATCTCTTTCGAGACATACTCAACAATTTCCTACATACCGTCCCAAAAATCAAGCAAGGATCTAAACAAATGGGGATGGACTATTGACTCCTAAATCACAGGCCAAAGAACAACATAAAACTAATACTACAAGCATCATCATTGCTATTCATCTTGACGACAACTAAAGTAACTTGAGTCACAATACTAATATCATAAATTAGTTTTAGACTAGTAAATAAAAATAGTGGACCAAGATACCATCGACTGATTGTAATCGAGTTTGCAAAGAAAGATAGGTCTCGAACCAATAAAATTCTATTATACCTCACTGCAATCTCCAACAGTTTTCTTATATACTGATAATACCACACTTATCACTACAAACAAGCAGAGGATTTGAGATAGATAGAGAGGAGTCCAATCTAAGAAAGCTTAGTGAAGGAAGAAACAATCCTACAAGCAAGCAAGCGAGGAATGACTCCCTGCTAGTGCTAGTATTGGTTGGTCTTACTTAAGTAGATGGTATCAACTTAAAGCTCAGGAAAAAAAAATTAAGAGTGCATAGAAATTTGAGTTCAGGTGAAACAAACAGCAAGAGAGAAAAATAACAAACCTTGTCTTTAAAGCAAGTTTCCTCATGCGAAGGTGAGCAAAGGTTGTTAGAACAAACAACAAGAGAGAGAAAAATAACAAACCTTGTCTTTAAAGCAAGTTTCCTCATGCGAATTCGCATCTGTGTCATCTTGGTTAATCTTTGCTTTGTTTTATGTACAAGTAGTTTCGGCCAGAACATCTGTTAAATTGAGGGGAATCGTTAAAGACCTCTGAGTCTCATGCCATACATATATATAATACCTCTTAGTTCAAATTACATTCCGACTACAACAGATAAATTATAAAGACTCATTACCAAGTGTTTGTCAATAATTTCAAGGGCCTTCTCATAATTTCTGGGCAATTTAACTCTTTCCCACAATTTATTTGGCATATGCGCCCTTTCGATCGTCTTCATATACAAATAAAACACTCCTGCAAAACAAACACCAAATACCCAAATCCCAAATATTCAGCCAAATAGTAATCTAAAAACATAAAACGGTCCAGAAATAACTAACATTTTAATACATTTAACATTTTATGAATTATTATACTATAAAACAAATAAAAAATGGAATACCATCATGTTCGCGGATGGTGGCGTATCGACTATTAGCGAGAGGGCAGGAGCTCCGATTACAAATCCCGGTCACGTTATACGGGTTCCGACAAAATATCCCAGTTTCAATTCTATCATAGTATCATACCAAAAATTTAAAACAAGCCAAAAATAATAATAATAAAAATACAGTAACACAACCTAAAACCCAGAATGTCATCTTATAAACATCAATCAATATCAGAATAATGAAAAGAAAATTCAAAACAACAGAAAAGGTTTACTTGGCCATGAAACTGCAGTGATTGTGCCTGATAACTTGCCATATGACCTCATCGTGCTGCATCTCTACTGATTAGAATCGAATATTGCAAACTGATTTTTACGTTTACAGTGAATTGGGGTTGAGAAAATTAGGGTTTAGGAGAATGGGTTTCGGCAGAACAAACTGGGTTAGTTCGAGGTCGGCGGGTCTCAATGAAGCATGTTTGGGCGTTTGGCTAAACTTTAAAAAAAAAAAAATTAAAAAATTAAAAAATTAAAAAATTAAAAAATTAAAAAATTAAAAAATTAAAAAATTAAAAAATTAAAAAATTAAAAAATTAAAAAATTAAAAAATTAAAAAATTAAAAAATTAAAAAATTAAAAAATTAAAAAATTAAAAAATTAAAAAATTAAAAAATTAAAAAATTAAAAAATTAAAAAATTAAAAAATTAAAAAATTAAAAAATTAAAAAATTAAAAAATTAAAAAACATAATAGGAAAAAAAAACCCAACGTTTGACACTTCTTGCGGAAAATGTGTCTACGTTTCAATTTTTTAACGTTTTCATCCCTATTTTCACGTTTTATTGCGGAAAACGTCCCTTTCACCAATTTTAAATGTAGGGACGTTTTTCATACTATAAAACAAACGTAGGGACGTTTTGTACTATTAGACATTTTAATAATTATTTGGACTTACTTACACTTTTTAAAACATTTAAGAATAAAATTGTAATTTGTTCTTTATTTTGGGCTTTATTTAAATGGGAGGGTATTTTAGTCATTTTATATTAAAAATGGTGAAAGGAACGTTTTTCGCAAAGAAAGATGGAAATAAGGGCAAAAATGTCAAAAAATGAAAGGTGGAGACGTTTTCCTCAATAAACCTTAAAGGTAAGGACGTTTTGTGTCAATTACCTGTTAAAGTTATGTTTAACTTAGATGAATTAAACTCTTTTAAAATATATAATTTTAGATACTTTCTACAATAGTTTACTTTAAAAAATAATAATAATAATAACAAACTTGTATATAATATTGCTGTACAGAAACTTATTTCATTTCAACTTTTACCATATCAATTTTTTGACACGGCAAATTAAGGAACCGCGTTTCACATTTGCTTAAAGTTACATATTAGGTGAGGAGCCCAAATTTTTGAAATATTCATTGAAAATAATTAGACACATAATCTTTGAGTCAGATTTTTTCCACAATGATTAAAAAAATATTTTTAATAAATTTCATTTATAGACTGAAAAAATGTTTCTAATAAAATTGATCGAAAAAAAAATTAAATATTAGAGACGGAAAGTCAGTGAGTAACAAAATAACTAAAAATAATAATATAAGACTAATAATGGAATTTTCTTCATGATAGATAAAAAAAACTTAACTTAATAAATTTGCTTAACTGATAGAATTTTCGTCGTTATATAAATTTATATAACTCAAAAAATTAAGTAATATCTTTAGAAAAAATAATTCTATAATCAAATAAAAAATAAAAAAATATTTAAGATTCATAATATCTTTCAATTAATAATAGTAAAAACGTAAATAGTTTAATAAATTTAATTATAGATAATATTTTCATAATAAAACTAAATATTAAAAGAATAATTTATCCATCAATAATATGGAAAAGAAATACTAAAAAGAGCTATCCTGGTTATTAAAAATTTAAAAAATATAGAGGAAAAAAATTGATGATATATTAACTTATGGGTTATGAACTCATAAAAAATAAAAAAAATATATAGAAAATAAAATTTATATGATAAGTGTAAACTTACTGTCGACGAGATGTGTAATGTGTTGCATCTCTACTTGGTTATAATTGATTATTGCAAATTAATCGAATTTTGTTGACCTTTCTGTTTATTCGTGATTTGGGGTTATAAATATGAGAAGAATTAGGGTTTAGGAAATTCAAAACTCTGAACCTATTTTTACTATTTGAGCATTGATTGGTTCATTTCGAGTTCGGTACCTTCAATAGGTAGCAAATAAGAACATTGCTATAGGTACAGGGATTTAAATCCTTGTACCTACCGAACACTCACATTCAAAGGCGGGAACTTTTTATTTTTTTCAATATTTTATACACGGGCCCACTCTCATTTAAGTGAGAATTCAAAAATCTGTCAAAAATCTAACATACATTTTTTGTACTGGAAGAATTTTCGAGCAAATAAATGAGCGCGCTATTGAGCAATATGCAAAAGTTGTGTTATCGTAGCTCTTTCTCAATAACTAAATACTTGGTTAAGGTTAAAATGTTTATATAAAATATTTATATGCAAATAATTATATTTTAAAATATTAATTAAATAAATAATTTAATAACTTTTTACGATTAAATGACAAGTCGTTCAAAACTACTATTTATCTTACATTGTTATTTTGTTGTTTATAGATTTTTCCTTAACAATATTATTATTTTTTTTTTCTTTATTTAGTAATAAAAGTTTAGAAATATTTTATGTTTCACTTGATGATCGTCTGTTTATAAACTTCAGTGAGGTTCATGATTTACCCTTTTTTTTTGTTTTTAATGACAGGGAACCCACGATCGTCACCTTTCGAGTGCGTACTAGATTAACTCTCAGGTTGATGCAATAGCTTACAAACCACACCAGCCAAGTAAATTGCACTAGGCAAGTCCTATGGACAGGCTCGACTAAGAAAGTGTTGGTAAGGGGAATTGAACTCGTGACCAAAGGCCTCCGCACTGACCTACTCTACCAACTCGACCACCCTATGAGGGGCATGACTTCCCTTTCTTCTTATTAGTGTTGTCTGCTTATTGGATTTTTCATCTATTGATAAGTGAAAACTGTAATGTTTACTTTTTTCTATCGATTCCAAACTCAGGAATGACATGAATTTAAAAATTTACAGTCACTACACAAACCATTGAGAAACGTGACACCGCTATAGGTTTCTTGTTATTTTTTTATTTTCTTCCAACCTTTTGCAAATATTTTATTTATGGGCAGCTTATGATAATTATTTTATTTTTAGAATAGTAGTAAAAAGAAATTAATAGGAAAAAATGATGACAAACAAAATTCCATTAACGTGTTAGTAATCTTGATGGGATTAACATGGATTACCAGACATGTCGTCGGTTGTCGGCAATCTCCGACGGTGTCAACAAATTTTATTCTTCCTGATTTACTTTTAATTTATTATTATTATTTTTTTACAAGTTAAAATATAATTTTGTTTATTCACTATGATATTATCAACATATTTGAATTTTTGGTGTGTGTATGGATGGGAAATTGGAAATCTTTTTCGAAGAGATGAGAAGTGGAGTTCAATAGAAATTCAGGAGACGATTGTTTCACCTACAAAAATACGCAATAGATATGATCAAATCGGATCAGACCAGACTAGAGCAGACCATCTAAATAGGAAGGACCTTTCGAACAAAATCAACACAAAGATGTCACGATTTCCTCAAACCGAGTGAAAAGAAGTGTGCGAGAATCGCAAGACAAGAAATGAAATACTAATGTAACATATACGTTTGTATTCTTTCGATAGGTATTGTGAGGGAGATTGGTGTTTTGTTGTAATTTTTCTGTGGAAAGTAACAATATAATATGTTCTTGTTACATTCATTTATGTAAAAGGAATTACCTTTTTTACACTTCTCTAAATATTTTTACATAGTATTATACTTCTTATGAAATATAATTTGAATGGTTTTCAATTTCTATCACGTTGACAATGATGATAAATGGTAGCAAAAATGATAGAATTCTAATTCACATTTCGGCTTTCATTTTTTCTTTTTGACTAAAAAGTTAATTTTCAAGAAACGAGTGATTGACATAAACTTTGTAGGTCCTATGAAAATGTGATTAAAATTAAATTTTAAATTTAAAGTAACTTTTAAATAAAAATAATGAAACCAAATAGCTCTTTGAGTATAGGAGAATAAATTTGGTGAAGAATCATCAAGCTTATAATATTCTTGCAACTTTATTTAATTTGCTCAGTAAGTATCTCAAAGTCTAAGAATAACTAATCAAAAGAAGGTGAATTGGTTATTAAAACTTTTTTCAAAAAAATTGATCTAAATTTAAGTGAGTAAAGAGTAAATAGATCAAATAATAAACGCAAATATAAAAGCGGTAAGTAAAAGGGAAAATAGAATACAAATGATCTAATTATGGAGGTTGGATCTAAAGCAATGATCTACGTCCTTCGTTACCAAGTTCTTTGAGACAAGCAAGACCTTTTCGCTATATTAATTTACTTGTAGTATAATCCAACATTTATAATGCTTTTGGTAACTTATAAACAAAAAGTATCGATTCTTATATAATATTGAGTTTTACGAGATCTCAACATAACCCCACTATTGAACTTTACGGGATCTCAATATGATCCACAAGTATAGAAAAAATTACGATGAACTCCTTCTCAATAAATGATATAAATGAATTAAATACTAAGAAAGGTTCCCATTTCAATTAATAGCAATAAATGATATGTCAAGTGCTAGATATGAGGGAAATACATGAAAATAACCCAAATAAAAGAAGGATTTTCCAAAATGACCTTGAACTTTTATAAACATTTTGAACTACCTAAAACACCTTTAAACAAATACTAAAAACAACCCTTTACGTAATAGAAATCTTCTATCTAAGTCCTTAAAGAATCTAACAAGTAATTTTTCTAAAAATTTGTGAAAATTATTAATGAATAATTATAAAATAGAAAAACTCAAATATAAGAGATGACCATATAATATAAAAAAGATTGTTAAAAATAAAAAAGAAATTAAGTTTGAAAAAGAAATCGATAAAATAGGATATCAAGAACAATTATATGCATCACAAGAAATATTAAAATGTTTCAAAGAAAACTTATTAGAAAATTTTGCTAAAGGAATTGTAAGATCAATAATCATAAAAGATATACAAGATATAATAGATAAATTGGAAAAAAGAAAGAAAAATATTTCAAAATATGATATACCTTTTAGAACAGACGTAGATATGATAACAGATATTGATATTATAAATTTTCAGACATTACTAGATTTTGAAAAATTACTTAAAAATTTATGAAAAAGATAATAAAAAATAGATTACCACAAGCATACAAAAAATTAGTTTTTATCTTAAGACTTTATATACCCCTAATAGTAAAAATAAAAGAGTTTTTGGAATATTAAAATTTTAGATTTTTTTAGTTTCATGATTATT